ATTTTATATCATCCGGGGAAGGCGAATGTTGTAGCGGATGCTTTAAGTAGAAAGGTGGGAAGCATGGAAAGTCTAGCTCACTTGCAAGTTTCTAGACGCCCATTGGCTAGAGAAGTTCAGACTCTGGCTAACGACTTGATGAGGTTAGAAGTAAATGAGAAGGGAGGATTGTTGTCCAGTGTGGAGGCGAGATCTTCTTTTCTTGACAAGATCAAGGGGAAACAGTTTAATGATGAGAAATTGATCCGGATCCGAGATAAAGTGTTGTAAGGAGAGGCTAAAGAAGCAACAATCGATGGGGAAGGTGTTCTGAGGATTAAGGGAAGGGTATGTGTACCCCGCGTCGATAATTTGATCAACATTATTCTGATAGAGGATCATAGTTCAAGGTATTCGATACATCCGGGTGCAACCAAGATGTATCGTGACCTAAAGCAACACTTTTGGTGGAGTAGAATGAAGCGCGATATTGTTGATTTTATTGCCAAATGTCCAAACTGTCAGCAAGTAAAGTATGAACACCAGAGGCCCGGAGAAACACTTCAGAGAATGCCCATTCCTGAATGGAAGTGGGAAAGGATTGCAATGGATTTCGTGGTTGGTCTTCCAAAGACATTGGGAAAGTTTGATTCTATTTGGGTAATTGTTGTTAGGTTAACTAAGTCTGCTCACTTCATTCCGGTCAAGGTGACTTACAATGCAGAGAAGTTATCCAAACTTTACATCTCGGAAGTGGTGCGATTGCATGGGGTTCCACTCTCCATTATATCAGATAGAGGTACGCAGTTTACTTCTAAGTTTTGGAAAACATTGCATGCAGAATTGGGTACTAGGTTGGACCTTAGTACTGCGTTCCATCCTCAGACCGATGGTCAGTCTGAGAGAACGATTCAAGTGTTGGAGGATATGCTTCGTGCATGTGTGATAGAATTTGGTGGTCAGTGGGATAGCTTCTTACCCTTAGCAGAGTTCTCCTACAACAATAGCTATCACTCAAGCATTGATATGGCCCCATTTGAGGCACTATATGGGAGAAGATGTAGGTCTCCCATTAGGTGGTTTGATGCATTTGAGGTTAGACCTTGGGGTACGGACCTTTTGAGGGATTCATTAGAGAAAGTAAAATCTATTCAAGAAAAGCTTCTAGCGGCGCAAAGTAGGCAAAAAGAATATGCAGACCGAAAGGTTAGAGACTTAGAGTTCATGGAGGGTGAACAAGTCTTGTTGAAGGTTTCGCCAATGAAAGGGGTGATGCGGTTTGGTAAGCGAGGTAAACTTAGCCCAAGGTATATTGGTCCATTTGAAGTACTTAAGCGAGTAGGGGAGGTGGCTTATGAGTTAGCCTTGCCTCCAGGGCTGTCCGGAGTGCATCCGGTATTCCATGTGTCGATGTTGAAAAGATACCATGGGGATGGAAACTACATTATCCGTTGGGATTCAGTTTTGCTTGATGAGAATTTGTCTTATGAGGAGGAACCTGTTGCCATTCTAGATAGAGAAATTCGCAAGTTGAGATCAAGGGAGATTGCATCCATCAAAGTTCAATGGAAGAATCGACCCATTGAAGAAGCCACTTGGGAGAAGGAGGCAAATATGCGAGAAAGATACCCACATCTGTTTACAGATACAGGTACTCCTTTTCGCCCTTGTTTTCCTTCTTGTGATCGTCCGGGGACGAACGATGGGTAAATTGGTATCTATTGTAATGACCTGTTTAGTCGTTTTGGAGCAGCAGAATTTATTTCTGGAAAAATAGGCTGAGGCGACGGACCCCACGACGGACCGTCATGGGCACGACGGACCGTCGCAGGGTCTCCTTTCAAAACACTTAGAAAATCTGAAAATTGTGTACTGAAATCGACTCTCTAAACATCGTAACGAAATGGCAGGACGGACCATCACAGGTATGACGGACCGTCACAGAGCCTTCAGTGGAAATCCACTCTCTGGACCTTGCGACGACCTGCAGGACGGACCGTCGCAGGCACGACGGGCCGTCGCAGGTTGCGCAATCCCAGTCTGGGTCGGATTTCTTTATACGTTTTAAGGGACGTTTTGGACTATTCCTACTTTAATTATAAAGTTAGTGGGTTAATGTTAATAAGTCTAATTACTTGGGGGTTAAAAGAGCTAACCTTAAGTTAATTAGTGGGTTATTATTGCCATCTTTTATTCTTTATTATATGCTAATTAGGGTAAAAGAAAGAGGGTTTGAATAAAGAAAATAGAAAGAACAAGAAGAGGGAGAGAGGGCCGATCGAGAAGGGGAAAGCACAAAGCTTTGGAGAAAATTTGCTTGCTTGATCACTAATCTTCGGTGGAGGTAGGTTATGGTTTCTCTTACGATATTCGTAGTAAACTCTTAATAGCGAATGATATGTATTGATAATATTGTAAACCCTGCTATGTGCTTAATTGAATGCTTGCATGAATGTAATTATATAATTGTGAATATAAGCATGATGAAGTTATTGAATTCCAAATCTTGCAAAACCCTAATCTCTTGTTAATGATGAGGCCTTGGTATAAAAGAAGGCGTGATGAACTAAAATAATGATATTGATGATGCCTTGGTAAGAAGGAAGGCTTGATGAATTGATAGAAGGAGATTAGGGGATTGGGTGTCACGAACCGACACGTAGATTTAGGGGATCGGGTGTCACAAACCGACACGTAGATTTAGGGGATCGGGTGTCACGAACCGACACGTAGATTTAGGGGATCAGAGTGTCACGTTCCGACACATAGTAGTAGGGGATCGGAGTGTCACGTACCGACACAAGAGGATTAATGAATATGAGGGAGCGGAGTGTCACGTATCGACACAAGAGAAATAAAGATAATGAATCTTGAAAGGTTAATATACTCAATCTAATGAACATAATTCCCAAATGAGTATGGTATTGAGGCTTGAGTCCTCACGTGTGTACTTGACGGTAATTGTTAATGATATAGTACTTGCTGTTGCTACATGTTGAGTATCATAGTTGATTTTATGATATTACTTGGTATATATTGATTTCTATTTTGAGTTGGCCGATGATATCTACTCAGTACCCGTGTTTTGTACTGACCCCTACTTTTATGTTTTCTTCTTGTTTATTTGTGGAGTGCAGCAAACGTGCCGTCATCTTCGACTCAACAGTAACTCTAGCCAGTCTTCATTACTCCGGATATCAGGGTGAGCTAATGCTTCTAGCTTGGACTGGATCTTCCTCTTCATGTCTTGATGCCTTGAAGTTCTGGCATGGACTAGCTTTTATTTATTTTTAGCTTCTTAGAAAACTCTTAGAATTAGTAATTTGAAGTAGATGTTCTTGTGATGATGACTTCCAGATTTTGGGAAATAATAGTTATTGAATTGGTTTTTGTTAATGAGTTTAAGTCTTCCGCATTACTTTATGTTGATATTACATTGAAATGTTAAGGTTTAGATTGGTTGGTTCGCTCACATAGGAGGGTAAGTGTGGGTGCCAGTCGCGGCCGGTTTTGGATCGTGACAATAACATTGAGAAACAGTGGAGACAATCACAATGTGACATGAGATGCATATCACTGGACCATGATGTTGGACAATGCATTAGAGGATATAAGCTGCTTGCTAACATTCCGTGAGATAGGGTTGATGAAGTAATCATCCCAGTCAACATCAATGACAAATTCCATTGGTTTCTTGTTGTATTCCGAATCAAAAGTAGATGTCTATATGTATATGATTCGATGATGGGAGGATCTGTTCATTCAAGGAAAGTCAAAGAAGCCGTTGATAAGCTTGCAACCATGATTCCTTTATTTCTGACGAGCACAGGGTTTTATGGCAAAAGGCTTAATTTGTATGCGAATAATCTCCCTGATTATCAACAGAAGTCTCAGTCTGAACCTCTAAGTATCAAGAATGTTACACATGTTCCTCAACAAGAAGAAAGTTCAAAGCATGTATATTTCTTACATTATTTTTTATTCATTTTAAATTGAAATTGCTAATATTCATTACAATTTTTTTTCAATTTGTTTACAGTGATTGTGGTTTATACACATCTCTATTTGCCGAATACATGAGCAATGGTGTTTTTGATATGTCACATATTGATATTGATTCAACATATCATCGTCAAAGATATGCAACATTACTTTGGCATTATGGAAAATCAAAGAATGATGAAGGCACAATCAGTGAAAGTGAAGTTACAGGAACAGTTGCTTGCAAGAAGGGTGGACCTCGAACTCATAAAGAACAAGTTATGGACACCACCAATTATCATACTCCAAAATTCCGTATCAGGAAGTAGAAATCTTCATGGCACATAGATAATTTATTTGAAAGACTTTTTTTTAATTTATGAACAATTATGTATTTTCCCAGTTTTTTTATTATGAATACTTTGATGGTTTTATATAAATTATTACTGATTATTACTAAATGTGTCTCAGTTTTAACATATATGAACACTGTATGAATCATGTATGAAAATCATATGAATTATGAATGTCATATTAAAATTTGATATATAGTACATAGTAATATTGAAATTTGTTTTGATTGAATACTATACACTTTCAAAATACAAACAGAAACTTATATTAATTATATTACTGGCATGAATACTGTATGAAAAATGTATGAATTATATCATACAATTATACATTAATAAATGTGTATCACCATCTTACACACATTATTCATACCACTAATATACATACAATTTGTTTCTGTTTTTATTTTAATTTTGACTACTGATGGTTTTATATAAATTATTACTGATTATTACTAAATGTGTCTCACTTTAACATATATGAAACTGTATGAATCATGTATGAAAATTATATGAATTATGAATGTCATATTAAAATTTGATATATAGTACATAGTAATGATATATGAAAAATATATGAATTATGACAAATTATAAAATATATTTTTCAAAATACAAACACAAACAAATTGTATGTATATTACTGGTATGAATAATGTATGAAAACTGTATGAATACTGTATGACATTTGTATGAATATTAATATTATTCAATAAAAAAACACATTTATAACAATGTAATGCCTCAATAACACAGATTTAACATTACGACATCATTGTTTTTGTACAGGATAATTTGAACAAGTCTTCCGATTGTGTCTAACCTGATGGCATCTACTGCATGTGCTTTTTGTCTTCTTGAACTTCACATCTGCGAATCCCTTCCACCGTTCAAGTTTGGGTCTTCCTGCTGCTCTTTTTGGACCAGGCGGCATCAATTTAGGATCTGAAATATAACTTGGTATATTCCATGTACTCTCGCACGGGATAGGCTCGACAGGAATGACATAAGCATCTTTGAAATTCTTGTGGCTATAAAAAGCAGAACAGAAATCTGCTTCATGTAACTTCCTGTACCGGGGAACAGCAATCGCATGACCACATGGTATCTCATAATGTTGAAATCTTCCGCAACTACACATCCTTGTGTTCAAATTTACTATGTATTTCTTTTCTCCTTCAGCTACAACATGCAGATCAACAGTTGAAGGTATCACCTGTGTAAAAAAAATATATTTTATACATGCTGAAGATTAGTATGAATTAAAAATATAAAATAGTGAAAAACATACCCTCATATTGCACGACAACGTAATACTTTTCTGTAGATAAACATCATATTTTTTTGTCAGATTAGATGTAGTCTTATCAGCCTCCTCATTATGCTTGTGAATCCACCTCTGAATTGTCACCCTCATAAACTCAAGAAGTGAAATCACCGGTAACCTCCGTGCTAATCTGTTAACATTATTCAATGACTCCGCGATGTTTGAAGTCATCGTCCATGTGCGCTTACAATTCGAGTAAGCTCTTGACCATTTGCTATAACCTATATCAAACAAGTATGGCTGTATTCGCGTATCTATCTGATCTATTCTTCTCATAATTGTCTCAAACTGTTGTTTTGTATAAGCTTTTGCCAATGAAAGAACAACATCTTCAAATCTTCAGTATTTCTATTGAAATTCTTCAAAACATTGACTGATAAATGCCATATGCATGCATAATGTTCTGATTCAGGATATACATTTGTTGTCCCTTTCCATATGCTTTCATTTCTGTCTGACATAAAACACATATTTTGTCTAACTCCATATGCTTCTCTAAATTGCTCAAAGAACCATGTCCATGAAGCATCATTTTCAGAATCTACTATCGCATACGCCAACGGAAGTATATGACCTGCTCATTAATTTTTTAAAAAAATATCACACAAATAAAAAATATCATTCATATACTTTTTCATTATATTATATAATTAGAAAATTATATAGGCTAATATTTTACCTCCCGGATCCAATGTGCTTGCAGTTAACATTGTACCACCATATGAACATTTTAATGCAGCACCATCAACAACTACAATTGGCCTACAATATTCCCAGCCCTTAATACATGCTTCTAAAGCAAAAAATGCATATAAAAATGTATCATCTTCATTCCTTTTTATTTTCAAAACAGATCCTGGATATGTTTGCTCCAAAATGTAAAAATAACCTGAAAATAACAGTCCAATTCATACATAAAAAATACATAGTTTATGCATAAAAAATACACATAACTGTTACTGTATAAATTTATTTTCGAAATTACCTGAAAATAACAGCCCAAATCATACATAAAAAATACATATCTTATACATAAATAATACATGAAACTGTTAATACACAACAAAATAAACAAATGTTTAAATTTATCATTATATTCGAAATTACCAGGTAATCTTGCATAAGATTCTGCTGGATCTCCTCGCACCAACTTTACTGCTTTTTCTTTAGCTCTCCATGCCTGTATGTATGTCAATGAAACACCATGCAATTTCAACATATCATCAGCTACATCTTTTGGAGTATATACCTTAGATGGATCAATATAATTATCCATTATCAATACAGCTACAACGTCAGTTATCCCTTGACGTATGACATAAACTCTTTCTCTAACACAACATGTATGCTGAGCAATATACTTCCGAACTTTGAATAAACTAGATTTATTAAAACTAGATGCCCTCATCATCCAAGAACAACTCTTAGAAATACAATGCAGATGAACTGTTACAGAATTTAATAAAATATACATTACAATATATATACATTATAACAAAACAAAATAAATAAATATATAAATTTAAACTTACTTAGATGCATTACAACGTGCAACCCGAAAGCTGAACTTCTCAACAATTCCAACATGCCTCATAACCTCCTTAAGGATTTCTTTATTATTATAAATCTGATTTTCAGCTACAAATAAATTAGAATGATCACATATTATATCATTATCTACTTCACTATTATCATTGACAACTCCGTCTAAATCCATTCCGATCAAACGGATAGAATTGTTGGAGTATAGATCTATGTTATTCTGTGATAATCTAACATCAGAATTTATTATATCATTAACTATAACTCTATGACATTCGTTATACTGCCCACAATCTTTCAAAGTGATGCATAATGGATATTTTGTAAAAAAATTCAAATTCACCCTCATCTGATCTAGATAAACCTTTACCCCAACATCATTATGAATTTTTATAGGTGGACACATTTCACTAACTATATACTTTATCTCAACAGCATTTAGATTTTCTTCTATGTTTAGCTTAGTTACTATAGAATTAACTAAACCAGTATAAAGAGTACAAGTATCATATAGGATGCCCTCCACTTCAAAGTCGACATATTTCCCTGTTTCACAACATTAAAATTACATTCAGTGCATCCCATAATAAAATTAAAAATTTATTCATACACAATTAACACAAATTTCATACACAATTTATATACAAGTAACTGTTTACCACACAATTCATGCACTTCATACAAAAATAATACACATTTCATACACAATTTAATACTCAATTACTACACTGTTTATACACTTTTGTAATTTACTAAACAATTAATACATTGTTTATTACACACTTAATACCATTTTATACAAAATTAATACACAAATCATACAATGTTTACCACATATTTTATACAGTTTGTACAAAAAATAATACACACTTTATACATAATTTAATACACAATTACCACACTGTTTATACATTATTATAATTTAATACACAATTAATACATTGTTTACTAAAAAATTAATACACAAATCACACAAAATTATATACAAGACACATATATATACAATAACAAAAATTTAAATCAATACAAAATTAAAACAATTTTTATACATACTCAATTGATTTTCGTATATATTGTTCATACTTTATATATACACATTAAAATACAAAATGTATACATTGTTAATACAAAATGTCAGATAATGTTCTAATGTTTCAAAAGCAAAAAATTTGCTAAATTTTTCAAAAACTTTAAAATATTAAATTTTAACCAGTAATCACATTTACCATCACTCTTCGTTTTAATTACACATGAAAATACATTTAACATTACGAAATTTTTATTAGTAGAAACACTAAATTAATGTTTTAAAAAAAATATATATCAATTTAACATATGCAATATAACACCGGAAAAAAAAACGATACATTACTAAAATATAAAAAAAAACTAACCTGATGAATTCCATTTGCCACCATGTTTAATTAAAATTGAAACAAATTTCTCCATCAAATCAAATCTAAACTTTTTCAACCTTCAATTTTAATTGTTTTATGAATATAGTCAAATTTCTGGAAAAAAAATTTAAAACACATTTATGGAAAGAAAGATAACAGAATAGAATTTTTTTAGGATAAAAAATCAAAAAAAATTACTATTAAAAACGGATTTCGCTAATTAAGGTGCATATCTTTAATTAATATATTTAAATCCCCTTAAAAAGTGCAAATTTGGTTATCAGTTAAAAACAGTAACTACATTCACGGTAGTTATCCAATTTTTATTACTAATTTTTAATTTTTTTTTCTTCCTGATTTAACTTAATAAATATTTAATATATTTTAATTTAAAGAAATGCTATAAGTTGATATATTATATGTTATTGAATGAAAATCAAAATCTTGTGCCATAAGTTGATAATATGACTACATAATATGCTATATACCTAATTTACACAAGTTTAAAATGGAACATGGGAGTGAACTAGTAGACAAAATAATTGGATACAAGATAAAATTGTTAATTTAAATAACTTTTAGCTACACAGAAAAAAACAAGTACAAAAATTGCTCATATGTATTACATATAATATTTGTCGCATTTATGTTACTTAGAAATTCAGAATAAATAACTTTTTTTAAATGAAGAATTTTAAAAAGAACAAAATTTTATATTAAATGAAGATTATATAGATTAAAGGGCAATTATTTGCAAAATAAATAAATTTGATTTATATTATGAAATTGGGAAATGAAATTGAAATGTAAATAATTACATTATATATACATATAAAAGAGAACCTTAGGCCTGCCTATGTGGAACCATAACAAGTCAGAATCCCTTTAAATTTATTCATTTCCAAGATTAGCTATCTCTTTTCATGAAAAGTTGTGACATTTATGAAAAGTTGATTTTAGTATGATGCTATTCATGTTGATATGAACTTATGTTGATAATATGCATGTGAAAATGCCTTTATGATGATGGTGGTCTTGTGTTGAATATGGACTTGTCTCAAGTAATGTTATGTCTATTGGCTTGTATGCATTCCTAATTTGAGCATAAAGGCTTTTTAAGTGACTTAGCATAGTTTTGAACAAATAGTCCTTTTTTAGCATGATTTCAATGGTTTTACTTGTATATGTTTTCATACTTAGTACAAGTGTGTCACGATCCAAAACCGGGCCGCGACTGGCACCCACACTTACCCTCCTATGTGAGCGAACCAACCAATCTAACCTTAACATTTCAATGCAATAACAACAGGAAATAATGCGGAAGACTTAAACTCATTAGTAAAATCAATAATCAACTTCTATAACTCAAAAACTTATCATTATCCCCAGAATCTGGAAGTTATCACCACAAGAACATCTACAATCAAATGACTAAACTAAGAGTATTCTAAAAGCTAAAAATACATAAGAAGCTAGTCCGTGCCGGAGGTTCAAGGCATCAAGACATGAAGGAGAAGATCCAGTCCAAGCTAGAAACGTTAGCTCACCCTGAAGATCCGGTGTGACGAGACTGGCTTGAATTACTGTTGAGTCGAAGATGACGGCACGTTTGCTACATTCCACAATTAAACAAGAAGAAAACAATAAAAGTAGGGGTCAGTACAAACCACGGGTACTGAGTAGATATCATCGGCCAACTCAAAATAGGGAACAGTATGTATCAAATATTATCGTAAATCAACTATAAAACTCAACATGTAGCAACAACAAGTACTATAATCATCAATAAGTACCATCAAGTTCATCCATGAGGGCTCAATCCTCAACACCATACTCATTTGGGAATTAAGTTTATTAAGTTGAGTATATTATCATCTTTCAAGATTCATTATCTTTCCTCCTCTTGTGTCGGTACGTGACACTCCGATCCCCTACCACTATGTGTCGGTACGTGACACTCCGATCCCCTAATTCTATGTGTCGGAACGTGACACTCCGATCCCCTACATGTGTCGGAACGTGACACTCCGATCCCCTACCTGTGTCGGTACGTGACACTCCGATCCCCTACATGTGTCGGAACGTGACACTCCGATTCCTTAATTCTATATGTCGGAACGTGACACTCCGATCCCTTACATGTGTCAGAACGTGACACTCCGATCCCCTAATTCTATGTGTCGGAACGTGACACTCCGATCCACTAAATCTATGTGTCGGAACGTGACACTCCGATCAACTAAATCTATGTGTCGGAACGTGACACTCCGATCCACTAAATCTATGTGTCGGAACGTGACACTCCGATCCCCTACATGTGTCGGTACGTGACACTCCGATCCACTAATATCATTCTGTAAATCATCAAGCCTTCTCTATACCAAGGCATCCTCAATCCCATTACTTTAATTCATCAAGCCTTCTTCTATACCAAGGCATCATCAATCCCATTACTTTAATTCATCAAGCCTTCTTCTATACCAAGGCATCATCATTAATAATGTATAATAAAGTTTCTTTTCAAGATTTGGGATTCAATATTTTCATCATGCTTATCTTATCACAATCACATAATCATATTCATGCAAACATACAATTAAGCATATAGTAGGGTTTACAATACTACCAATACATATCATTCTCTATTAAGAGTTTTACTATGAAAGCATGAAAACCATAACCTACCTCCACCGAAGATTAGAAATCAAGCAAGCAAGTTCTCAAAGCTTTGTTCTTCTTCTCGTTTCTCCTCTTTCTCGTTCGTTTCTCTCTCTTTTTCTGTCTCTCTTTGTTCTTTCTATTTTTCTTATTCAACCCTCTTTCTTTTACCCTAATTAGTATATAATTAAGAATAAAAGGTGGCAATAATACCCCACTAATTAACTTAGGGTTACCTCTTTTAACCCTCAAGAATTTGAGTTATTAATATAAACCCACGAAATCTATAATTAAGGAAAGAATAGTCCAAAAACGTCCCTTAAAACTTCACCAGAAATCCGACTCTGCCTGGGATTTGCGCAACCTGTGACGGGCCGTCGTGCCTGCGACGGTCCGTCCTGCAGGTCGTCGCAAGGTTCAGAGACCCAAATTTCCACCAAGGGTCTGTGACGGTCCGTCACACCTGTGACGGTCCGTCCTGCCATTCCGTCACAAAGTTCAGAGAGTCGATTTCAGCACCCAATTTCAGATTTTCTAAGTGTTTTGAAACGTTGGATCACGACGGTCCGTCACACCTGTGACGGTCCGTCCTGCCATTCCGTCACAAAGTTCAGAGAGTCGATTTCAGCACCCAATTTCAGATTTTCTAAGTGTTTTGAAACGAGACCCTGCGACGGTCCGTCGTGCCCATGACGGTCCATCGTGGGGTCCGTCGCTTCTGCCAGTTTTTCCAGAATTGAAGTCTATTGCTCAAAACGACTAAACGGGTCGTTACAAAGTGGTTGTACTAACCCATATTCTTTCCCTTTTTCCCAAACAATGTAGGTTCGGGCCATTGAAGTTCTTTGAGGCTAAAGCAAGAAGGCTTTGACTAGTTT